TTCTTCTTCTTCTTCTTCTTCTTCTTCTTCTTCTTCTTCTTCTTCTTCTTCTTCTTCTTCTTGTCTTATAGCCATTAGATTCTGTGAAAACTAAAAGACTGGTTTTGAGCAGGGAGTTGGACTAGATGACCTACAAGGTACCTTCCAACTCTGTTAATCTGTATCTGTGTCTGAAGGCCAGAGTACTACCTGACTGCTTAGGTTAGAGTCCAAGGCTCAGGACCTTGGAATTGCTGGCTTAAACATAGAATTACAGACACTCCAAGCCTCGTGGAATTCTTGGAATTAAATGGGCTTGTAATTCATTCCTAAGGCGCCACCAGAGGAAACATTTTGCTAAGCAAATGTTCTGAACTATGACACAGGCACTCCAACATGCTTAGGGTGACTTGAGTAGTATTCCATTAGTGTGACAATGGCCCAACCCTTTTCTCATTTTCTTAGTGAAAACTTTATCTTGATGGTGTATTTGGGTTTAGAGTGAAGAACTCTGCAAAATAAACATAGCTCCTTAGTAACGTTGTAGATCCAAACTTTTCGATCGCTAAAGCATACATTGGTGGTACCCCTACTTATTAATGATATAAATGCAAAAGATTAATCACTCCAGCTCCTGTCAAAATACACTTGGAGATCAAGCTTTATAGACATCAACTTTTGGCAGAGTTACCATTTAAATAGATTGTATACATTTACTTCTCACTAGAATCTAGTTTGTTAGCATAGTGTAGAGAATGAAAATTAGGTATAGGTTGTCTATATATTCATCAAAGATAATAACAGTGTGGATCGAGATAACAAATACACCCATATGCACACATAAACACAAATATAGATAGATAGAGTTAGAGATAGATAGAGATTGAGATAGAGATAAATAGGTAGGTAGGTAGATAGATAGATAGATAGATAGATAGATAGATAGATAGATAGATAGATAGATAGATGATATAGATGATATAGATAGATGGAGATAGATTGATAGATAGATAGGTAGGTAGATAGGTAGATAGATGATAGAGATCGAGAGATGGAGATCGAGAGATAGAGACATGATAGAGATAGAGAGATGGAGATAGAGATAGGTAGGTAGGTAGACAGATAGATGATAGAGAGATGGAGATAGAGGTATAGATAGAGAGATAGAGATAAAGATAGATGAGATAGAGATAAATAGAGATTGCGATAGAGATAGATAGGTAGAGAGATGATAGAGATAGAGAGATAAAGATAGATATATAGATAGAAATAGAGGTAGATAGATAGATAGATAGATAGATAGATAGATAGATAGATAGATAG